CTGTATTATCTGTGGCTACTTCATGCTACAAGGGCAGAGACTGTGGCTCGAAATGCATGAAACTGACCCTTGGTAGAAAAAGTTTGCCAACCCCTGCTCTAGGTAATGCATTTCCCATTGAAAAGTCAGCTGGTAAACACCAATCCATAGGTAATATGGCCAGTACCTATGATTCTGCTGATAAATAGATTTGAATCAAGTTTAAATCAATTCCATTTAAACGATATTTATTTACTGAGGGGCTACTATGTGACAGTCTTGGACAGGGGCTGGGCTTACACAGGTGAACAAGGCTGGGATCCCACTCCTGAAAGAACCAGGACATACACAAATAATTTCAACCCAAATGCGGTAAGATGTTAGAGCAGAATCTGATGTTTTATTTTTTCCTATAAAGTGAACCCTGAAAACCTAATTATTTTGTTCTTTAAAACTTTGAAATTCTAGGGCCGGCCAAGTGGCTCATCTGGTTAAGAGCACGCTCAAGAGTGCGAGCTCTGAGCAACAGGGTCACTGGTTCGATTCCCGGCCTGAGCTGAGTTGCCACTGAGCTGGCAACAGGTGGCAGGATGGCTCAGCTAAAAAAAATTAAAAAAATAAAAATAAATAAAAACTTTGAAATTCTAAAATCATAACCTTGGGCTAAGATCTCTCTCTCTTTTACAGCACAAAGACTAGAGATAAAACTGTAATTCTCTGAAATTACTCATTAACTTGTTGAGGAAAGATCAACTTATTGGGATTTTTCGTAATTGCCAGTTCACTCAGGGCTCTCTACTACACAGTTCTAATCCCTCCATTGAGAGTGGAAGAAAGAAAAGGTATTGAGACATCAAGGCAAACAGTTAGAGCTAGACTTCTGTTTTTTAAGAGTGAGTTTTTAAGCTGGAGTCCCTGTTAGCAGGGTCACATATTAACCTGCTGCTGACAAAGGCAGGAGGAACAGAAACAATGGCCAGGATTTCATTATCTACTGTCTGTCTTTGCAACTCCGAAGAGGTATCAGGCGAATTAAGGGGAAAACCAATTTCTACTTCCCATGGATGTGATGAAATAGATTCTTCTTGGGCAGAGCAAAAAGAAGAGAGAAAAGATGGGTGCCGCTTCCCATCTGGGCATCTGTGCGGCCCTGACAACTGTTTATTTGTACTGGCTGTTGACAACATTTCTGCATCATACAGAGAAGGGTTTTTACTGAGCAGCAGAAGTAGAAACAGAACGCATCCGTTTCTACGGAAACCTGAGCTGAGGAGCTGGCAGGCTGGCTTCACAGACCGAGTCCCTAAACACACGGTGGCCCACTGTATAGTAACACCCCTCCTCCTCGTCTCCCTCATCCCATTTAGAAGTTAATGCAACAATGTGAGATGATTGTTGATGCTCGTTATTAAATCATTTATTCATCCCACACAATGATTCAGAATTATTCATTAAGCTTGCAGGAAGTAAGTGGGGTTTTACCTCCACGGTGGTTTGAGCAGGGATGTGCTCTTTCAAAGGGTATTTTATAACAACACAATTATCATAATTAAAAGCTACCCTGCATATTCTGATGAGCTTCTGACATATTTTTGAGCACTGGCATTTTCACACAAGGAGATAAATGAGGCTGAAGTCGTACTAGGGAATACTGTCGCTCTGGGGGGAAGCCGAGGCAGTATGACAACCATCTGCCACCATCACCCCCAATGCTATCATGGTCTTTAAGGTCATGAATTTTACAAAATGTCACTCGAAACTTCTGGCTTTCCAAAATCAGTTCAAATTACACTGCTGTGACCCGAGCACCCTCCTGCGTTACTGAGTCACGGGGGCATATAAGTCCCCGTGACAGCCCGCACCCTACCTGGGCTTCCCACCAGGCAGGTCACTCAGCGTGCCACATCCGGGTCTCTTCCGGACGTGGCCCCGGTTTGTTCTGTGTCTGAAAGGCTAGTAAGCCTGGTTTAGTGAAGCCACTAAAACTGCCAGGTGACTGCAGGACGGTCACCCATCTCTGTTTTCCGTGTGAGCAGGTTTAGGTGAAGATCCTAAGGCTGGTAGCCAAGAAGAGGACACCTTCTCATTCGTGAAGGTGGTGCCTGGTGGGAATATTGGGGGCCGCCTGTGCAGAGAGAAACCGGCTGCTGAGTGAACCCAGAAAGCTAGCATGTGCCTCAGAGCAGAAGACACACGGGTGGCTTTCCCAAGGCCAAGGACCTAGAGGCCATGTGATGTGTGCTGACACTCGGACACAGCACAGACAGGCGGTGCCTGGAGTCCTGCGCGAACACGGACTTGGCCTGCTCTGTGCCTGCACACAGCGGGTGTCAAACAAAGGCATGAGCTAGGTCAGTCGGCCACTGAGAGCAGGAGCAGGAGTCACAGCGGGTTTCACAAATACTGATGAGGCCTTTTATTAGGAGCTAAGACCTGAGCCTTCTGAATGAAGAGGTGACTGCAACAGCGTCCCTGTGCTTGAGGAGCCGAGATTAGACAAGTCACGAAGTACAGATCCGCTGGGATCTGGGAAAGATGAGGAAGGATGCAGTGAGGGGCTGGGGGCCACCTTAGACCAGGTGTCAAGGCTGAGTAGATGCTGGCCAGGTGAAATGGACGAGGCAGAGATGACGAGGAAGGGTGAGGACCTGGCCTTCTCCTGGGGGCGAGGGGGGCCTCGAAGAGTGGCGGTGTGCAGCTACACGATCCCTCTGGCTGCTAGATGGAGAAGGGACTGTAATGGGGTGAGAGTGGGGCAGGGGACTAGCTCAGAGCTGTTGCTATGACCCAGGTGAGATATAATGGTGGCCTAAAGTAGTGGACAGGTTGGGGAGATCTCAAGGAGGCAGAATTAAAGACATGTGACATATCAGAGTCTTCCTGGTCCCAGAGGCCCTCCTGCCGACGGTCCACCAGGGTTCCAGAGCCTGATGCTACTCAGAGTGAAGAAAACTGGCTCCCTGCTCTGACCCACACGTAGTAAGCAACCTCCTGACTAGGATCTGGGGTCCCATGTTGCTCTGCCTACGGGACGGTACTGCACTGGCGGGGCTGTGGGTGGGGGAGAGGGTTTCGGTCTTGTCCTAAGTTAATCAATTGACTTTCTGGCGGTAGTGATCGGTCTCTGTGAGCTGGGGCAAGTGGAGTCCACCTCGGGAGCACACACCAGCTCTGGCTATGTCGACACATCCCTCCTGAGCTTGCAGGGCTGCAGGCCTGAAAGGGGAGGAGGCTGGTGCACACCAGATATGCCACCCTCTGGGGCTCCTGGTGAGTGGGCAGCAGGCCTCCCCGAGGATGCTACTGGAGCTGTGGGCTCTCTCTTTAGAAATGTCTACAGATCTCAATATCTGGGGTGCTCGTGGTCGGCACGTGTTCCATCCTCCGATGGGAAACCCAGAACCACATGCCACTCAAGACTGCGGTTGACAAGAACGGAGAACAAAGAGCAGCATTTGCACCATTTAACATCCGATATGAAAGGAATCATTTCAGTGGCATTAAATGTTCTCTCTGACATTATTCTCTGTTACAAAATAGTCTCCACGGTGTGCTGATGCCATCCTGACACCTCGTTTCCTTGTCATCAGAACAGTGTTCTGCACCAACTCAAGCATGGCATAAAATTTCAAAAGGCTTAATAGAAGTTTTCTAACTTCATCTCCATAGAACAGTTGGAAAATGTCTCCAATTATGCAAGCTTTTTGTAAAATGCCTCAAAAATACAGAAGGGCCTATTGTACTTTCCCCAAGTAAATGAGAACACATTTAACGCTCAGAGATGAAAAGTGTTGGGTTTTTTTTTTTTTTTTTTTTTTTTTTTTGATGAATGCTTGCTGCTGGGTCAGGCCACTTCCCTCTCTCTCCCTACCCCCAATAATGCATATTAAATGCATGTATTTAAATTTTAGAAAAGTCTGATGAAATACACACTGGAAAGATCTAAGAAGAGGCATTAGGATCAAAACAAGAGACACACCAGTTGTCAAAACTGGAATCCTGCCAAGTCACTGGTAACTCGGGGGTCAGCTCAGAACATACCGTTTTTCAGGAGAGGAACACTGCAGGGGCTCCCAGGAAAAATGAGGTGTGCCAGCTAGCCCCACATGGAGCACCGCTGGAAACTGAGCTCTCTATGAAGGGAGTGCCTTTGTTTCGTGTGAGGGTGCACGCACGTGTCAAATGTACGACCAGTTAAGAAAGTACAGCCTTTCCATCATGTGAAGACACACTGAGAAGGGTCAGCTATGAACCAGGAAGAGCTCCTTGCTAGAACCCCACCACGCTGGCACTTGATCTTGCACTTCCCAGCCTCCAGAACTGTGCGAAATAAATTTCTGCAGTTTATAAGCAGAAAGAAAGACAGAAAAGACAGAAAGACAGAAAGACAGAAAGAAAGAAAGAAAAAAGAACAGCAAGGTGAGATGACACTAAATAGGCTTCTCTCTCCTGGTTCTGGAGAGGAACTCAGTCCTCTCAAAAGGAGCACTGACCAGGCCCCGGGACCCACCTGCCCATCACAGCCCCGCCCCAGGATTTCCCAGGTTGTACCAGTGGGAAGCTTGGTCTCCAAGGTCACCTGCCCTGGGCAAGTTCCTGCTTCTCAGAGAAATGAGAAAAGGTGCCCCCGGCATCTTCCCTCTTCCTGCACACATTGAGCCACACTCAGACACCCCCTCTCCCCGCCCCCCAATGACCCCGACCTGCAGGGCCCCCATTCTCAGCTGCTCACAGCTGCCACAATTTTAAATAAGACTCGGAGGCTAGGGCTGTTCTAATGCGTTACGGGCCACTTCTCATTTAATCCTCACAACCTGCCCACGAGAGCGACTTCTGCTATTCCCATTTCACAGATGAGGAAACTGAGTCCCAGAAGGGCTACGCTGCCTGTCCAGGCCACAGAGCCAGTGAGTGGCAGGCAGAGCTGGGATCAGGATCTAGTTCCGTCCAAAGCCCCGTCCTGTCTCCCCTTGGCCAGGCTGCAGAAACCGCTTCCGACCGCCCTTCCACCCACACACTACCTGCTTTGATGAACTTGTCTGCCAGCTCCTTCCGAATAGCCTTGGTGACGTTGAAGTAGTCGTCGTCCTCGTCGATGCTCCCGAGGAACAGCGGGATGTGCTGGAAGACGACTGCGTGCTGGCACTTCCGCTGCCCGGCCTCACTCAGCTGCTGCTCCAGCCACCGGTCCTGCGCCTGCTTCAGGGCGGGGCACCCGGAGGCGTCGTACAGGAACTGGGAGTTGAGGACCAGGAACAGGACGCCCCCTACCCAGAAGCTGAAATAGTCATCTCCCCAAGTCTGCTGGAACTCCGCGATCGTCTCGGGGGTGGGGGTGTTGCCCACGTCGTGGTTGCCGCTAACGAGGACCAGCGGAATCTCGCTGTCCACGCGCCTGAGCAGCCGCTGCAGGTCCGCCGTCTGCTCCTTCCGCCAGGGCGCCCCTGGAAGAGATGGCCGAGGCTGTTTATGCGTTTACTAACATAAGAGAATAATCTAGAAATCTAGTCAACCAGGCTCACGGAAACTGCAAAAATAATCCTAAACTAAAAGCAAATCAACAAGTGGGATGGGAAACATTGTCCCCGGGGGTTCCCTCAGGACGCCTTGGAAATTCAATGGCTGCAGACGGAGTGATGGTGGAGTTGCTGTAATATGAAATGTGAGTGAAGCTTGATTTCTTTTATTTAGATACAAATACAGAGTTGTAACCTTTCTGCCCCATCTCAGTGGGTGATCATGTGCGCGCCCCTGTGGTGTGTGGACCCAGCTTTGAACAGGCGTCCCAAACTGAAGGGTTTCTTACTAAACTGGCGGCCTTGCAGGCTGGGTGCACATCCTAAGGGGAAAAATTCTTAGACTCCAAATGGCTTGATTAACTGGCACATGCATCTCATCAAATGCCCCTCATACAGGGCAGAGGCATTTTATATTCCACCAACTGTGTGTAAACTTGCAAGGGCTCATGTCTTCACATTAAGCACTTCCCCCCAGCACACAGGATTCGGTGTGCAGATCATTATTTCCATAAAGAACTGGAAAGCGTGTGGGGACTCTCCTCCCTCAGATTCCCGGCTTCCACACTTCCTATAATAACACATTAAAACTTTAATAAACGGGCTTTAAAATGACCAATTCAATTCCACATTTTTTTTTTTGGAGCCCCTTTGTGCTAATTTATTCAACAAATGCTTACTGAGTGCTGACTATGTATAAGGCGCTGATTTAGTTACTGGAGGTGAGCTGTGAGCCAAAGACACACAACTTCTTCCCTTCAAACTGGGAGTCAGATAATTTGTCGAGGAGATTTGAGATGCGCACCCATCTGTTTCAGATGTTATGAAGCATTACTGAGAAAAGCAAAGTGGGGACAGGACGTAACTCGCCATGTCAGTCCTGGGGAACGTGCTTGGTGTCATGCAAAGACAACATGAGAAACATGACAACAACAGGCAGCTCACCTTCCCTAGGGATGATGAAAAAGGCTGCCATGAGCAGGTGAAAATTACACCCAACATTTTGTTTCCATCATGAATTTGAAAAGCAAGCAAAAAAGTGTGTATGAGGGAGGCAGGAGGGTGTGGGAGTCCTGACATGTCCTGAGAAAGGTGTCATGTTAGGAGGACTGTGACCTTGTGAAGATTCACCTGCCGAAGGCCGACAGAATGGCTCCAAGGGAAGTGAGTAGGGGGAGAGACGCTGTCAGAGAGGCGATTCTATGGTTTTCATCCAATAGGTAATAAAAACCGGAACAGGGCTGTGATGCCACAAATGGGAAGGACGGAGACCATCTAAATGTACGTAAGCGTTGTCCTGTTTGAGTAAGAAAACACAGAGGAGAAAATGCGTACATGTTCTGTCACTGTCTGAACTTGTCACTGCTGGCCAAGGTCTCCCATAAATTATGTCCCCCCAAAGTGATCACCTCTCTGGTACTTATATTCTTTAGAGCCAACTTTGGTGCTACTGTAAGGTAGTGATGGAATATGAATGTAACAAACCTACTAGGCACTTGGTGCCTGCCAGACAGTGCTCAAGGCTGAGGCTGGCAAGAGACAATGCAATGTCTGAAACGAGGAAGTGCAGGACAGTCCTGAGCAGATTCACCTATGGCACGGCCAAGTCGCCTAAGAGCAAGAAATGAGCCCAATTCATCTGCTTAGAGCTGCTGGGGTGTCAGATGCCTGAAAAGGTCTTATTTAGAATGACTGCCTCTTTTTACTTTAAGATTCCATTTTATGATCTGAACTCTGGCTACGACCCAAAATCTTTGATTCCATTTGGGATTTTAAATACACAACCTAATGAAAAGTTAACAGACGTTTCACAGTTCAACTCCAAAAACAGTCACTGCTTTCAAAGCGAGAGGCCACATCGAAAATGCCCCAGTCATCAAAGGACTAGAAGAACAGAAATTACTTGTCTCTGGCTAGGCATTTATTCAACACATACCTGCTGTCCTACTGTGTGCTGGGTCATGGTCACACTAGCACAAGTAAGGTGTTATCTGTGTTCTCATGGAGCTCAGACTCTAGAGGGGAACCACACCAGGGAGCAGGCGATGATCATGTGGCATCACATGAGTTGTCAAGTTATGTGAGGGGAGCCCCAGGCCCCATGGAAGCACAAGTGGAGGTCACCAACCCAGTTGGGGTGAGCGAGCCTTCCCAGAGACCCCAGCGCTCCAAGCAAACATTGTTGACTGGCGAAAAATAACTCTCCAGAAAAGCCACAAAAGAACAGTTTATTCGGAAAAACAAAAAGAAACAAAAACCACCACTGCAGAGTGGGAAGGCACACCTCCAACCCGGGGCTCCAACCGGCTGCTCACGTGAAGCAACAGCAGCAGCCCCTCCCCCAGAAGCTACCACAAAGTTTAACAGGAAGTCAGGATTACAGAGTTAACAAGGGGCCCAGCTCCACTCATAGTCCTCCCAGCTCTATGGTTAAGCATCTTAAGATGCCAGTTCACTTTTATCAACATTAAAAGGCTTAGGAGCAATTAGGGCCTGCTAAAAATAGAAGGGGGCTTTCCTAGCTAAGGAATAGCAGCGGAGAAGGCAGACATCAGGAAGAACCTAGCACTTTCTGGGAAGTGGGGCAGTGAAGAGTGGACAAGCCAGAGTAATCAAAAGAGCTTACATTTTTGGAGTGCCTATTATGTACTCGGCACTGAGCTAGATGCTCTAACACAGATGGTCTCATTTGCTCCTACAAGAACCCTATGCAGCAGTAGTAATACAAATGGGGAAACTGAGGCACAGGTGAGGCCCTCATTCAAGGTCACAGAGTTCATACGAGTCACGGCTGGATTTTAACCCAGGTAGGGCTGCTAGATAAAATACAAGACATCCAGTTAACTGTGAATTCAAATGGGTAATTTTTTAGTATACCTGCATCCCATGCAGTGTTTGTATTCCTGTATTTTTATTTGCTAAATCTGGCAACCCGAAATTCAGCTCCCATCCGGGTTACCCAGCCTGACTCCAGAGCTGGTGTTCTCAGCTGTGAATGGGAAAGGGTACAGACGCCATCTCCTGAGCTGATGCCCGATGAATGCAATGGGGAGAGAAGACAGAGCCCCAGGGAACTCCATGAGTGTCTGTTGAGACGATTGAATACTGTCTTTTGAAGGAAATACATGAAATACCTGTTTCTAAAAATTAAAAAACAAAACAATAAAAAAAACTCTCCTCTGGTAAGTTCTCATATTTATAGCACACATCACCTCACCGAGGAGGATAAACTATTTTCCCGGCCTTGAACCACAAAACCAAAACAAACATAACGAAAAGCCAGTTTCTCCATACGAACTCGAGCATCAGCCCTGGGCACGGGAGAAGTTACAGAAATCCCTCTGCCAACACGAGCGGGCGGCAGTCGCTTGGCACCTGGTGGGTGTCGGCGGGGCCTCTGCAGCTCGGAGGGCCCCAAGCTCAGACAGCTGAGTCACCCTATTCGGAAGCCATCTGAACAGAAGGGTTGGGAAGAGGGAAGGATGGGTGCGTGGGGGATGCGCTCTCGCGCGGCTATCGTGATAAACGTGGACTTGAGGGCAGCACCCTCGTGCTGGGCAGGAGGAAATCAGGACGCGGAAGGCGGGCCAGGGGAACAGGAAGCAATCATGGCGAACCACAAAGGGAGGAAGACATTAGACATTCTGAAAGAGCGCGAACGCTGCTGGAGAAACGGGGCGACTGGCGAAAACGGAGTATGCTGATGTGTAACTCCGCAAAACACATTTACAAAATCCTCTCAGTATTAAGAGGCAGGTCCTGAGGCACACGTATCAAAAAAATGTTTCTATCTTAAAGCATGTAAAATAGCACTGAAAATATTTTCACTGGAGGTGCTATACCACTGTTTTTTAGTGAAAATGTCAAAACCGTCAAGGACGGCGTGTTCTCAGTGAAGGGGCGTTATACAGCCATTCGCAATCTTGCCTGGACTGACAAGGAGGCTCACGGATGCTCCACAAAAAAGCACAGCACACAGAACTGTAAATAATGTATGAACTCGGCTCTACAAAATAATTCCTTTAATATTAGAAAGGAAACATGCCAAAAATGTTAATAGTTATTACCTCTGGGTAGATAGAATGATGAGTGATTTTTCTCAGTCTTCCCCAAGTTTTTTAAATTGAGCATCTATTACTTTTATAATCTCACACACACCCACACACCCACACACACACACACACACACAAACCCACACACAATTTTAAAAAACCTGCAGGAATGAAATATTGCTGAACGTTTTAGTTCACGAATGCATAATGTGAGTGGTGGACATGAATATAGATGATCATTGCTTCATTTATTTTTGCAACAAGAGTGCCAGGATTTTCAGGAATAATAAAGGGCAGAAAGCCCCTGGCAATGTGCGTTACCTACTTAAACAGGAGCAAATTATGCAAATTATTTAGAGTGTTAAAGAGTATGGACTAACCCCTGGGTAAATGTTTATTAAGTAGCCTACCATACAGGGCTCTGAACTAAAAATTATAACCTTGCTCATAAAATGTGTGTCACCTCATTAGACCCCCAAATACAAAATCACCCCAAATCACAGTTGTGGTATTATTAGCAAACTGTTTCTGCCCACATGTTTAATGTGGAAGGTAACCTCTGGCAGGCTAATAATCATTGCCTTCTGGTAGAAAAAAAGTCAAATGCGGGCATTTTCACAGGATCAGCTGTAATGGTTCTGGGAGGCAGTGGAGCGCTGTGGGAGGTGAGAGGGCTCCGGAGCGAGGTTGGCCTTGGGGCTGAGCACCGGTTCTGCCCCGCAGAGAGCTGCATAACCTTAGGCAAGTCACTTAGTCTTCCTATGATTCTGTTTCTAACCCCAAAATAAGTGTAATGTCTAACTTGCCAGAACTGTCATGAGATTAAGAAAATATGCGTGTAGAGTGACTAGTATGGAGCTTGGCTCATACTGGACA